TCTTCATTTTTGCGACATTGTTTTTTCGTCACACTTTCTGCTCAATAAGGTACGTACAAACAGTTATCGAATTTGACTGTTTTGGAAAACAGCAAAATTGTTGCCATGGCCCACCCTAACGAAAACAAAGTACGCGTCTGCAGCATCGATCAGCTCCGCTGCAGACGTCCGGCAAAGCACAAGTGGTAAATCACCATGCATGAGGCAATGCATTTGAATGCATTCGAATAGACTAAAGAAGGAGAACAAAGGCAAGAAAGAAGGACAGACGCACCGTTGATACAGTTCTTAACATTATTCAGAGCTAAACCTGAGTCGGTGAGACAGGGTGTATGCATGCGAATCCAACTCACCAATAGAATTCGCCATAATTTGAACGTGAGCCCGGACTTTCCGGAATTAACTCTTTGACGCTGTCGCTCGAAGGAATCTGAATTGTTCCTCCAGCGTCAATGCTGCTTCTTGTCTCATCGTGGTCCTCCATTCTCGATCTCTCTGAAAAATATCATACGTTCGGAACGAAACAAACACAGTCACGAGCAAGCCTTATGGAGCTTCATAGAAAACGAGACAAACAACGTTGGCGTATATAACATGCGATAACGTGGTGGAGGGGGATGGACAGTGCAATCTGCGGTATTCACAACACTCCCATGCAGATCACCTTTTGATGTAGAGGTATCACGCCTGCGTTTTCGTTGTCGTTCAAACACGGATTCGGCTTCGGAAGGAGTAAGGGGACGCACAGAAACACGACTCGATATTCGGGTCCACTTGCCAGCAGCAATATCCTCAGTGCGTACTGCCGGAGAGCTCGAGCGACTCGGTGATGAGCCAGTAGACGATGCTGGAGAGGATTGGTAGGTTTGTGCAGAAATACTGCGAAGTGTCTCCGGTAGATTTTCAGAGACGACTAGCTTTCTTCCAGGAGAACTGCCGCTAATGCCGCAACTGAAGATCATCCAACGAGCACATCAGCATGCTGTAAGAAACGCCGTCACAATGCGTTGCCGCTGCTGAACGGTCAGCTTTCGAACTAAGAACAGTAGCAAAGAGTAAGCGATGGTTGGCAATTGGTTGTATCCCAGTGATGCTGGATATTTCCCGCATAGAAGTTGTCAGGCGGAGTCTCGACTAGCGCTCAGCAAGGCGTGATTCAGTGAATGCCAACAATAGTTAGGGAAGCCGCGCCAACCTTGTTTTTCAGTGCATG